TCTGGTCTGCAAAAAGCAGAGACGAGATCAACATGCATCATGTAAGTAATTACTTGAATATTAAGGAAAAAGCAGGAGGGGGAGGAGAGGTTTAATAGAAAGACCTTGTTACTAAATATAATCTTCAACATTAGGTTCCTGCTGCTTTGTCTTCTGTTTGTGGCTGAAAATCAATCTTAATGTGTGCTTGTATTTCCATATAGCCATCATACACTGATATGTTACTCTTAATGTTTTTAAGAAACAGTGGAGCTACCAGTGTGCAGAGCTTCTGATGGTACCCCCAGGAGTCATCAGTCTTAATCCCATGACTCTTGGAGCTTTAAGTGACCGTAAAATTCGGAGCATTTTCAGGCTCCAGGCATTAACCTGATGTTACAAGTTACAGTTCTTAAACAAAAACAATGCAAAAAGCCAAAGGCAGCAGTTAAAAAGGAGCATGATGTTTGATCACACATTACAGTCAAAAGAACAGCAAAAAGACAAGTGATAAACTGGAGATAAGGTCTCCAGTTTTTGGTGAATGCTTCCATACAATCTAAATCTCTTGTGTGATTAAAAACAATAGTGGTCACAGTATAGTAGGCTACTTTGTTAATTTTACTTTGGAGGTTTTGTTTTTGTCAGTGCATCTCGGATGCCATCTGTCCGATGCCATGTCCGTTCAGGGCTCAGCCTTTAATTGGCAACAGCTGCTCTGTCATGTCTCTGACTGAGACATGCTCACACTAATTATATGAATGGACGTCAACATACGGTGTCCCACACAGCTTCTGTGTGGCTTGTATTTAGGACATGTTTCCGATGCAACAGCATCCATCTCTCTATTTTTATGCTGGAGTCGGTCTCCTGTATTCACTGCATGAAGTCATTATAGCCTTCAGTGTAACCCCCCCCCAGCTCCAGTAGAGGGCTCTTGAGGCTCGTTTTTAATGACAACAGCGTCCTCTTTTCTACCAAAATAACATGGTCAGGTTTTAAACAACCCCCAGCTCTCCATAGGCATATTCCATTGCTATTAATGCATTAAGTATAAGACCGAGTGACTGGAACTAGTTTAGTGAAGTAAGCACTTTGAAAATATATGTCTTGAGCGTATGAAAAGTAAAATTGCCCCAGGAAAAGGGGCTTTTTGAGGGATTAGGTCCAGTCTTCTCCAAGTTGTTTAAAAAAATAATTATACTGTATATGTCACTGACATATCCACGTGGTGTTCAAACAGTAAAAAAGGAAGGTAATATTATAATACTTCACAAATTTCTATAATATAAATCATCACAGGAAGGTTTCTTACAAATATTATATAGGACAGCAAGTGGCACTATTATCCCACTGTTCCCACTCCACCTGATATACAACCAGTACAGCAGTGGTGGAGTTTAAGTGAGTACACTTAGTCATACTGTAGTAACTACAGTTTTAAACTTAATGCTCCTTAATTCTTTGTGCTCCAATACATTTTTCTTAAGTGACTTACTAAGAAAAAATGCACGTACACACTATTAGGCAGCCAACAACGATGTCATCATAAACCACTGGTGGAGAGTAACTAAGTACATTTACTCAGTTACTGTACTATAACTTTAGGGTACCTTAATTAAGAATTTCTATTTTAAGTTACTATATACTTCTAATCACCAACTTTCCAGAGGGTAGTGGCCACCAGGCGCTCGCATTCGAGCCCCAACCCCAGGCCTGGCTCCAGGGTGGGGCCCCGGCTGCGCCATGCCAGGCGACGTCACGGTCCTTGATTTTAATCTATTCATAAAGGGCTTTTGAACCGCTTTTAGTCTGACCCATCACCCAGGACCTGTTTGCCTTGGGAGACCCTACCAGGGACGTATAGCCCCCGACAACATAGCTCCTAGGATCACTCGGGTACTCAAACCCCTCCACCACAATAAGGTGGCGGTTCAAGGAGGGGCTGACTGCATTTGTCATGTTTTAAAACCTGTTTATATGGAGAGCATCATAATACAGGTCACCATGCGACTCATATTATCCACTGCACACTGTCTGGTATGGTGTGTTAAGATTTAGACAACCAGAGCTCTTCATAGCATTCAGTAATGTAGTTTCACACAATTCCATGTTACTTATTGTTTTTTGAGTAATCAAATTTATGAAACTATATAAAAGTTAGGAAAGCCAAGATGACTTTCAGAATTAAAATAGTGCCCATCTGGTCTATCCACCATACAACAGTGGTCCTCAGGTTGCTTCTTAGTCACATTGGTGGTCCCTGGGTGTCAGAGACTGACAGACACAACAGAGAGCAGAGCTGCTGTGCAAGATGCTATTGCAGAGTCTGAGCAAAGCAGTACCATTACATCTAGAACCATCACTGCCATGTCTTTTGCCTAGTATTCATGACTTTGTGTCTTCCTTTGCTAACATGTCACGGCCATGTTGGGGACAGAAATGACTTAGTTGACTGCTTGGTAGTTATAAGTGTTGGCATGTTATAAATTAATTAGAGATTTAAAATGAGATAAATCCTGCAGAAATGTTTATTCATTGTAATTGTATGATGTAAGTTAACTGAAGTTGATGTCAAACTTTATAATATGCAGTGATGGCAGACTGAAGCGCAGGGTCAGACCTATCAAAATCCTGTGTAGATGCTTTCATTTGAATGCAGTCTTTTAGAACAACATTTCCAGGAATCCTTCACTGTTTCATGGTTGTGTTTGAGTTCTAGGGGTTTTCTCTTGAATTTCAAGTTTCTCCACAGCTTGTCAGCGTTGCATGCTTTGTGTTCTCTTGGCACCATCTTGTGGTCAAATTCAAACCTGCATGAAAGGAGCACAGTAGAGGATTTAAAACGTCTTAATTACAAGCTAGTGAAACAGATTGTCCTCATCCTGGTTCCTGCTTTGATTGCAGACATTCCCAACTCTGACTCTGAGAGCTTCAATCCAGCTGTCTGGGAAGAGCAACGCAAGCAACGAGCTCAGGTGGCCTTCGAGTGCGACGAGGACAAGGATGAGAGAGAAACCCCCCCAAGAGTTAGTGTTATGCCTTTATCACTGTTCACATTATTGGGAGAGGAAATTTTCTGAAATGATTTACCATAATTACAAGGACATTACTGTAATCACAAATATTCTTTTGGCAACAACTTTCACTTTGTGCGGTTTTCATGAAAAATGTCCTGTTTTCTTCTACTTCTTGTTGGAGACAATGGAGGATCTGTCGTCTAATTTGAAAGATGGCTCAAATCAAAACCTCATTGTGACTGATAAAGGAAGGGTTTTCTATAAATTAAAAAGGAACAGAATGTGTTTTTGTTATTGAAATCATCTCCCTCTCCATGTAATTGCCATTCAGTGCTGATATTTTACCTCTCTTAGTCCCACTTCTGTCAACACTTCAACCATATGATTGTAATGCTGTTTGTAATTCCACTCCATCAGGAGGGAAACCTGAAGCGCTACCCTACACCTTACCCAGACGAACTGAAGAACATGGTGAAAACAGCCCAGTCTGTGGCTCACAGGCTGAAGGAGGAGGAGTCGAGTGACGAGTCAGGGAAAAATGCAAAGCCAGTCGAGAGGAACCACATCGGAGTGCAGGACGTGGGCGTTAAGGTCAGCTTCACCCAAATAAGAAACATTTACTTGGGAAAAAAAATCTCACTTTCTTTTCTTGTTTACTTTATTTTGCTTGGTTTTAGTTCCTCTTTAACAAACTGCTTATTCTGCATTCAAATAAAGAAGCCTTTCAGTAAGTAACTGACCATCTGTACTGTTGTGTGCAGGTGATAGAGGCCCCGTGTCCCAATGGCATGACAGCAAATGTGGAGCCCCCAATGTCTACAAACACATGTGCCCAAAACCCCTCTGCACCAGAATCAAAAGACACTTCAGAGTCTTACAACTCTCAGAAAGTCCCACTTAAATCTTCAGAGGGCTCTGTGTTGAACCATGAAGACACACTGGAGGTACTCCAAATGTTCAGCACTCTATGATTAGTTCTCAGGAAGTACAGCAAAGTACATTGAGTCATTATCTTTGACTTTAGGATTCTGAGGAGCTGTCGTATGAAGAAGAGGAGATGAAAATTGCAGAGATGAGACCCCCTCTTATTGAGATCTCCATCAACCAGCCTAAAGTGGTGACGTTAAGCAAGGATAAAAAAGGTACATATTTTGCTTTAGTTATTAAAATATTATAAGTGGGAGATTAAACATAACACAATACCTTAACTCTTACATCTGATGATGGGAACAGATGATGGGAAAGATGCAGACTCTTTGCTGGATGACACCGTGGCCAACAGCAACCAGAACAACAGCAACTGTTCGTCCCCATCACGCATGTCCGACTCTGTGTCTCTGACCACCGACAGCAGTCAGGACAACTCTCTGTGCACCCCTGAGAGAGAGGCGAAGGTGCCATTCCTCCTAAAGAGCCGGTTCGAAACATTTTTCAGTCTTCAATGTAGCTTAAAAGGAAAATCTTCCTTCTGCTGTTGCTACAAAATCTGATATACCTCCTTGTTCTTTGTTTTAGGCAAGAAGATGAGAATATGAACCAGCCTAAAGACACCACCCCCCTCCTCCATAATGGTAATGACTCGGAAACATCCCTTCAGGCTCTTTTGAAAACCCAGCAAACTTCTCCAGAGAAACTGGGTAACTATGAACTGTCCATGGAGGCCAGACTGGCCTTCATTGAGAAGGGAATTAACAGCGGCATGGGAGACGCTTACACCAAGTGGGACCAGATCAATATGAATGTGTCAAAGCTGCCAACTGACAATATGGTTCATTTGGATGGGCTGGACAAAACCAGTGGTTCAGGACCACAGGAGGACTTGGATAGAAAGCAGGGCTTTAGCAATGACAACATGGAGCATTTACAGAATGGAAACCAGCAACTGACTGACTGCATCGGTAGTCTGGGGAACAGAAGCCAAACGATGAGAGTGGAGACATCTGCTGTGCATGTGGCTTCGACAGACGTGACAGCCAGCAGTGACATGTCTCTGTCTCGCAGCACGGAGGAGCTGTCTCCAGAGAAAAGGTGCCATCCCCCACAGGTGATGAAGTCTCACAGTGTCAGTAACATAGAAACAGGAGGCATGAGGCTGTACTCCTTTGAGGGGGTGGAGGATGACACCTATGACACAGCAGCAGTGACTAGGATGGCAGGAGCCGACCCAGGGCCTGGAGCTCAGGGCCAGAGTATCGTCAGGAGCAGGTCAGCCGGTCAGTTGCTCAATGACCAGACTCTCCAGGTCTTTCCCAGCTCCTCTGCATCTTCCTCAGACCTGCTTTCCACCTCTAAGCCACCAGCCAGCACCAGCAGGTATCCAGTCCCATCCAACATGGCTGTGGGCATCCCCCCTCCTCAGTACAGTATACAGTACACAAGCAGTGCCATGCCTAAAGAAAACCTCTGGGCCCAGAGAACACCCATGCCCCCAGAGCAACAAGGCTACCTCCCTCCTCCTCCACACTCACTAGCCAACACCAACTACTCCAACCGTAATCAGGCACCTCCCTACCCTCTGCAGCCCCAGCAGAGGGGGCCTCCCATGGCTCCCAAACTCTCTGGTGACATATGGCCTAAGGAGAGACTTCATTCTACTGGTGCCCCGCCTAGAAGCAACAGTCTGCAGAGGCAAAGCAGCACCACTTCCACAGCCTCAGTAGGCGACCCGAGGCGTCTGCAGGTGCCTGAAGGAGAGTACATGACGTACAGGGACATTCACACCTTTGCTAGGGGGCCACTAGCAATGAGCCAGGCCATGCAGAGGCCTCTCTCAGCTCGCACTTACAGCATTGACGTACCCGGTTCTTCCAGGCCTATCAGCACCAAGCCACAGCCCCACGAACCTCCAGAGAGGACCATGTCTGTCAGTGATTTCAACTACCAGCACAGCAGCCCCAGCAAGAGACCCAACACCAGGGTGAAGTCTGAGCACTCGCTCCTGGATGGGCCAGCACAGGTGTCGGGTGGAGTGGGAGCAGGAAGGGTACCAGCAGACTGGAGAGACCAGGTGATGCGGCACATTGAAGCCAAGAAAATGGAAAAGGTAAACGTACTAAGATCAAATGCATTGCCAGTTTCTAGCAATTTTCTGTGCATTGTCATTGGATTCACTGTTACAGGTTTGGTGTGTGAAGTGTTTAATTTATAAACAGTGGATCGCACTTATGAGACCAACAGTATGAATATGTTCATCTCTGCAGGACAGCAGAACAAGGATACGGCGATAATCTAGAAGTTCTAGATTTACTGTAGAGCCACTGTTACGTTGCCTTAAATTATTTTGATAGTACCAAAAGTCATCATGTGAATAAGAAGAAAACATCTGTAAAGTCTTTTTCAAGCCCTGTTTTTAAAGTTATTTCACCCAAACTACAAAGAAACAACAGAACTTTGCAGCTTCAGACTGTTTGGGCTTTGCTTGCCCAGAAACAATGTCTAGATTAATCTGAATAATCCACAGACCAGTTTACACTGCTACTGCTTTTTATGGAAGAGCTAGTCCATAGAAAAACAGTTACCAGTGTGTTGAATTATCCAGAGTGATGGGGACATGTTTCTTGGGAAAGATATTGCCATTTAATTTTTTTTAATGTCATGTTTCTTTGTTTTGAGCAACACAAATGAAACTCCATTGTCATTCATTGTAAATCAAAACCTGGACAAATGACTTGATGCCACTATGGCTGTTTGGGTGAAATGACTCTTTAATATGGAGGTGGGACCTCAAAGCCTACTAACCCAGCTGTGTGCCAAGTATTTCTGATTCACTGCATGTTTGTCTGTATATGCTGTAAATCTTTTGTTGTGTCTTTTATGTCTTCACTCATTTGGTGGATTTCATGGCCACTGCTGACATGGTTCCATGTCGTCCTCTGTTCAGAACGCACTGTCACGCTCCTATAATTCCAATAACGATCCACTGAGCTGGTCTCACTATGGCAGTTGTAGGGATATGCATGCCAGCCAAGGGTCTCTGGTCTTTAGTGCCAGGGACGGACAGCCCTACGGAGCTCTGGGCTTCTGTGTGAGTACTGTGAACTTGTAGTTTGTTCTGCAGCTCGTACTAAGCCGGGGCTTCCAGTCTGTTCTAGTTTCACATCCTTTAGAGTATAAGGAAATACCTCTTTCTTCAGTGCTGAGATGTGATCAGTGACAGTCAGAAGCCAACTTTCACTTGTCCTTTTATGGACAAATGAAAAATATAATGTCTTTCCTAGTGTCTGATTTCTCACAACCATAAACCTCTCATGTCATGTCTTCTCAGATGGATTTGCTGAGAGTGTTTATGGAGCTTTTTCCTGATTAATGCAAATAGACTTGTTTAAAAGGGGTATACTTACTTGTTGTGCCATTTTCCAGTCAGTTTAGTGGCTTTACCATGATTCTACCACAATAAGATTATTATATATGGCACAAAATGCTGCCTTTTAAACCTGTTCTGTTTTTTAACAACATCATCATCATCATCCAAGTGTCTGTTCTCCTCCCCACCGTGCCACAGTCCAGTCATCCTGTCATTGTAATGCATCTCAGCTCCATGATTTTCTTCTCCTAACTGCACTTTAACTCTTAAGCTACGTTCACCTGCTGTGTTACCTACTGAAGTGGCTTAAATCCTTTTCTTTTCCCCTCCAAGTGACTCAGATCTGATCTTCACAGATGTGTGAACGAACCAAATCAGATGTTCTCAGATCAGATCTGGGCCGCTTCCATATGTGCTCCTAGGTCCATTTCTCTGCAAAGCGCTGTCAGAACGGTCAGATCAGTGTTCATGTGGTTGTTTTAACGTCTCTGCACATACGGCCTGTCGCCATCATTCAATGTCGGCTCGTCACAGACCGGTAGCAGTAAACATGGAGGAGAGCGACAACATTGACGGGGTCAGTGGAGAGACCAGGATGTTTCACATGTGTTCTGATCCAAAGTGGAAGAAACGTATCGTAACCCAGCACTTTGGAAGGAAATAATGCAATTTGACCATCACACAAATGATTTATTGTTATTCTCGTGCGCTTGTAGCCCACTTCTCAGTTAAATCTGTGTATGCGTAGCAGTTCAGCGGTGTTCACCCCGGAGCCAGATACATTTCACCTACCAATATGAGTGTGAACTATCAACGCAAAGAGAATGAATTTGTGAACGTAGCTTAAATTTTGTTCATTCCTCACCTTTAACTAAACTTTTTGATCACTTCATAACCTTTCACTTTGTGTGTGGGGGTGAAAATTCTGTTTGCAAACGATAAGTGGTAGTGTGTGGCCATTAGAAGTGTAGTATAACCTCTTTACTACTTGACATTTAAGACACTATGTTCAGCAGCCTTCAGAATTACATGGTGCTTAGTGTTTGTATAGAAACTAAACAGTGTAATCTCAGTTTTTCATCAATGTAATCACACATTTCTTATCTTTCCTCTCTTCTAAATCAGCACCTCATTGCCTAATGTCATTACCAGGCATCTGTTATCCTTTGTTGTAAATGGTTTCAGTGGAGTAAGGTTTGGGCACACTGGTAATAATCACCACTGTCTTCCCTTTGGGGATGATGTCCCCAGGGGCAGCAGAGCTTACAGTGTGCACCCCCATAGAAGAGTAGCTAATATACTGTACATGTAGGGGTAGACCTTTAGCTACAGGGCAAAAACAAAACATTGAAACTGGCTAGTTGTGAAATGACTTGGATCTGGGGGGCTTTGCATTTTGCACCACAGCTTGTTTTAAGTAAAGATGACTGCAGTAACTTGTTGCAGTACATCTTTGAAGAGGTCATTGTATCGAGACTACAAAAAAAAATGTTCATCAGTGTGTTTCTGTTTGTTAGGTTCCTTTAATGAACGGTCAGATGGGCCCTTCTCTTCGTCCTCAGATGAGCCAGGCGTCCATGGTCCGCCACCCTTCCAGAGAGCAGCTCATTGATTACCTAATGCTCAAAGTCTCCCAGCAGCCTCAGGGAGTCCCACGCATCCCACACGACGCACTGCAGCAAGAGGTGTCTGTTCAGAATTACCTGTTGAAACACTGAGAGTTTGGGTTTTGAGGATGTTTTATAATGGCTTTGCTGAAGTTTGATTAAAAGATTAATTTGACATTTTTAGGAAAATGCTTATTTGATTTTTTGCTAAGAGTTAGATGAGAAGATCATCTTCTAAATGTGAAGCTGCAGCTGTCACCTGTTTAGCTTAGCTTGGCCGAAAGACTTAGAAACAAGGAGGAAGCATTTAGTCTGCTTTCTCCAAAGGTCCTAAAATCCCCCTACTAGGGTCTCTGCAGATGACTAACAGATTATATCTTGTTTGTTTAATCTGTATGAAAACCAGAGTGTAGAAATGACATGTTCCTGGGATTGGTTGCACTCTGGTTTAGGCAGGACAGACCCCAGTTAGCTCAGCCAACCAGCTGCTGGCTGCAGCTTCATGACGACACAATGGTATTGATCTTATCAAACTCTCAGCAAGAAAAGGAAAAAGAGCAGATCTCATAATGTCAAACTATCCCTCTGAAGGAACTTTGTATCTTAGCCCATAAGAATCCACCATAGCTTTTAATTTGCCAGTTATTTATATTCATATATACCTTAATTAGCTATTGAGCTCATGTATCAGCTAGTGCCTAACTTCCTGCTGTGGTTTTTCAAGACTAATATTTTTGAATTTTATGTAGTTAATAGTGAAATGAAAGTCTGTGGGTGTGTTTCAGATCCATGTGAAAGTGGAGAAGAATCCAGAGCTTGGTTTCAGCATATCAGGAGGAGTGGGAGGCCGAGGAAACCCCTTTCATCCAGATGACAATGTAAATACACAAACATTTCAACAAACCTTATGTTCTGTTAATGCTAGTATGATTTTCATAGATATGGTTTCCTACATTGTACTGTATATCCAGTACAACAAAGCTGATTTTAATATGTGTAATTCATATAACGTTACCCTTATTGCATCAATCCAGGGTATATTTGTGACAAGGGTTCAACCTGAGGGGCCGGCATTCAAGATTCTTCAGCCTGGAGATAAAATTATACAGGTATTCTGCTGTTTTGATTAGTTTAGTCTGCAAGTTCTTTTCAGCATGTTCAACACAGTTCTTGTTTTGTTTTCACAGGCAAATGGATATAGCTTTGTGAATATTGATCATGGGAATGCAGTGTCCCTGCTGAAGACATTTCCAAACACTGTGGATTTGACTATCATAAGATAAATACTTGCATAGACTCAACTGAAACTGACTTCTAAAGCAGAGTGGAACAGAGAAATGTATGTAGACTCATATTTTTATACACAGAAGAGACTGATCTGTTGATCTCTGTTGGGACTATTTATAGTAGAGGTCTTCAGAGCCTGGTGGAAATGGGGAAGACCACTGAATGTAGTGGATCAAAGTGAGACAGTGGCAAACATCTGTACGAGTCCTCAAAAGGCCATCACTGTGGTGTATAGATATTTTTATACAAAAGAAGGTGAAGTTATGACCTGCTTTGATGCAAATACTCACTGTGGTCTTTGTACAAATCATCTTTTTTTTTTTTTTTAAGTCAAAAAAAATCAAATCCTGTACCATCAAATGGGTTTTATTCTGCCATGAGAACATGAATTGACCACTAGGGGGCAGGGCTCCCTCTTCTCCTTGGCCTTTTTCTTTTTTTTACTTTTTATTTAAGATGTTGAAACCGCTTTCTCACCTGGCATGTGACCTTGTATGGAGGACAGTGTTAAGTGATTTTCATGTGGAGACGAATGTAGATCAAGGCACTGTTTAGATTTTGTTGATCGGAGAGATTTTTCAATCCTCTTCTTGCAAAATCGAAGACGAGGAAATCCTTCACCCCTGCTTCCATAACCCTGTGAACATCCTCCAGTGTGTAGAGACTTTTGTCCTCACTTCATCCCAAATATCCTCACTGCAGCTGCTCAGCATATCACCACCGTCTCCTGTGGGATAAAGCTCCTTCACAGTGTACGTGGCTCACAGCTTCTCTGATGTTGAAGAAACACTGTGATAATTTAGTGAGTTGGAATTTAAATATTGGGTTGATATGAGCCTAGACATGTAGCTAGTCTGCATTTGCTCTGCCTTAATTTATTTTGCCAATTTGTTTTTTATGAAAGAAAGTGACTTTTTGGGAAGGGTTCATGTTAGCCTGGCACGTTCCATGGTAACAAAATCTCTCTGCCAACTCCTCTGTAAAATTCACAGATTAAAATGTTATAGCATGTGTATTTAATACATACAAAATTGGAAGTGTAAATTAGCCTTTTCAGTGGAGGTTATTTTCCAAAATATTTCTTTGCAAGATCCTTGAATCTCCATTAGTTGCCTGTCAATGGGCTCAGAGTATATAAATGGCATATCCTCTGTTAAAGAGTAAGTTTTCATTTTTACACTAAGGTTTATTCTAGTAAACTTGAGGAAGTGGATGGTGGGTTTTATTACCTTTGGACTGAGCCAGACTAGCAGCTTCTTCCTGTTTCAAGTCGTATATCTTAAGCTAAGCTACCAAGACGCCTACCAAATATATTTTACTGACACATGTAAAAGTGGCGTCAATCTCCTCGTCTAACTGTTCACCATAAGGCAAATAGAGGTATTTCCCAAGATGTCAAACTGTTCCTTGAAGAAGAGAATGATATGCAAGGTACTGTAACCAAATCAAGCTTGGACATTGTGGACACAAGGCAAATGTACAAGAGAGGTTTTAATAAGAACAAGTTAGTAGTTTTTTGTTTTAGAGTTTCAGGCGGTCACTGGTGAGAAGAGTGTTTGCACTGCAAGGGTTTCAACATCTACCAGCGTTATTTTTTACTTTGGTGAAGACCACAGTTTGCCTTTTGTCCTGTGTAAAAATGTTTTATTGTGCTTTTTACTCATTATTTTTGGAACGGTGTCTCAATCTTTTTTTTTTTTCCCTTGGCTGTTGAGAGGAAGGTTTGGAGAATCGATTTGTGAAGTGCCATAGATTGGACTTTTTGAGCAGGGGACGACCTTGACCCCAGAACCCGAGCAATATTCGCATATTCACAACCCTCCAAGTACATTTGCAGCATAAAGACTTCAAAGCAATATGTAAAGCTTTTATTTTCTTTCAGACAAATGTCAAATCACATTTTTAACGACCTTTTAGTAATCCCTGATGATTTTACATGATTTTTATATTGTGAAAAGAATCTGTTTTGCAATGAAATGGCACAGGAAATGTAAACTAAAAGTAGTATTAAAAAAAATTCTTGACGTTGTATAAAACTTTCTCTTTGCCCAAGGCTTTTTACTATCTGTCGCTTAGAATATTTGTGCAAAGATATCAAGTCACACTGTTGGAAAAAGTTAAGTCAAAGCAGCATCTCAGAACATTCACGTCTGTGTCCGAATGGAAACGGTGGTTACATCTACTTAATGTGATTAAATATTCTGTGTACTCACAGTTGCATGAAATCAGCCTGTTAATATTCATTCACCAGTGAAGTATTCAGTGAGACGTGTTTCTGTGACAAATGGAAATGATGAACTCCATATACTGAGTAATGCCCCATTAATCTTAGCAGTAGATTTGTGTCCTGAATTATTTGTATGATATATATATATAATAGCGTTCTATCCTACAGTATTTCAGCAAAGTGCATCTCCACAGCTAGTTTACAGTAGGTTATCATCGACTGTGCTCTTCCTGTGTGTTTCACTCATACAGCATGATTCTGAGCTAATTAGTTTTTACCCTTTAATAACATTAACCATAGGTGGCAGTTCTAAGTAAAGCTGGACCCTAAAATTGATCCGTTTTATTCACATGCAAATGGAAAATAATGTCCCAGGTTTCTCACAAAACACAAACGTTAGACAGAATCGTTGTTTAGATTGTATTAGTTTTATTGCTGACTTTCACTGGGAAACGTTTTGGGGTTATGGTCACTTTATATTCATGACAAAAAAAAGTACAGTCTGACATTGCAGACACAATGAGATGAAACATGTTCTCACCCTTTCTTCATCCATGTCGGTCTGTTTTCTGTGCTCCTGTGTTCTTATTTATTTAGCAGTCGGCTATGGATTTTAGACCTACTAATCAAATTGTAAATACTCCTTAAAACATTTTTAAAAAGTTAATAATGGCATTAGTGACTTGCAGTTGTAAAACCAGCAATAAATTGCAATGCAGAGGCACCGGTTTTAATGTATAGCTAGTATTTCCAAGGTTTCTCTTGAAATGAGATGATGCATTTATTCAACATTCCAGATTTTTGTACATAATTACCTGTTTCTGAAGTAACCTGTGGAAAATAAACTAATGCTGTTTAATTATTTTGTCTTCATTTCATCTTTCATGGTCTGGAAGGATGATACCAAAACTAGAGTTGCGCTGTAAAATAAAATACCAAAGTGTGTACAATAGGAATGGATGGTCCTACGGTACAGGCCAACTGAAAGAGCTGTACGTCGCTCATTTAGGAGTGTGACACCAAGAACACCACATCGAGTCCCATTCACAGGTATATTGTGATTTTGTAAAATAATAAATATGCTGTATTGCATGTATGCTGTACTGTGCAATTTGATGTTTTCACAGTTGTATTTATATTTGCAGCCTATACCTCTGTGGTGTGACCCTCGGGCCAAACTTTGTTTTTATTTTTTGACCTGGACTTGCTAACTTTTTCCATGCTTTTCTTCAGTATACTGTCTTTTACCGGTGTGGAGTAATGCAAGGCTGCCAACATGGCTGTTCTATGTACATGATAGTTGGTACGTTATTTTTGTATAGCTTAATTACTGAAATAGTTGTAGTATTGTATAGGTATATGTATGCCTACATTACATCTTAAGATTTCCCCTTGTACTTGATTGATTCCTTCATAGAGTTGTGTTGATAAAGAGTTGTGTGTTGTGACAGTCCTACTTGCTGTGACTGAAGGCCTCAATATGCTCCTGCATTAATCTGTAATTTGACTTTTTAGTATTTTTGTACCTCTGAAGTGTTTTTGACTCTCTTGAATAATTTCTCATCTCTTTGCAGTCACTCTACATCTATTTGTTGTCATTGTGTCTCTTTGTGGTTGTATATTTGTCCAATTTGACTTTCCAACCAGAAATGCCAACAGTCACTTCAAACGCATCATCAGGCCCGTCCACTGTCAGACTTCAGGCTGGAGGTTATGTCCTCTCCAAGACTGTAGGGGGCGGTAGTGCATCTCAAAGTTTTACAGTTAGCCCTGTTAAAAACACAAACCAACGTAGGAGGAAGTCAGACTGCAACGTCGTACTGCGCCGCTAGGACACTAATCATAATTTATTCCCTGCGGTGTGTTTGGGAAGCGGGTACTCAACAAATACTACACGTAAAATTCTGTCAGCGCATTTATCATTTTGCACAATGAGCGGGATACCAGGGACAGCTGTCGTCCAGGTCACCAACCTGTCCTCGGCTGTGAGTAGCGAGCAGATGCGCACTCTGTTCAGTTTCCTGGGGGACATCGAGGAGCTGCGGCTTTATCCGCCCGAGTAAGAGCAACCTGTTTCCGTATGGCTAGCTAAGCAACACCGCGGATGCGGGGCCTTTCTGCGGTCAACTTAAACATTGAAATGAAGGCGTCAGGTGTATAATAATGAAGTAACCCGCCCCTTTCTCTGTTTGTCTGTCCCTTCACAGCAACACGTCTCTGTCGTTCTCGTCCAAAGTGTGTTATATAAAGTACCGAGACCCTTCCAGTGTCGGTGTGGCGCAGCATCTCACTAATACTGTTTTTATTGACAGAGCTTTGATAGTAGTGCCATGTGTGGAAGGTGAGTGTCGTTTCTTTCAAATAAATGAAAATGAAATGTCTGAGCTGTCTCAGTGGACTGGCTATAGCCCCCCTTGACCTCAGTCACGTGTTTTGTTTTGTTTTGTTGGTGAATTTTAGGGGTTTTGATGGAAATTCTCCAAGTTGGGCCATTGGCTATTTCTGATTCCTCTTACAAGTATTTGCCACAGGTGACTGGTTGTATCACTCACTAAACCACTAGCGAGCTAACGTCTCGTAGATCCCAGCTTTATGTTTGGTGTCACAAGGTGATTCAACAGAAAACATGTAGATGTTGAATGTTGTAAAGCTGCAGCACAATGTTTAGGGTTAACCTCACTGTAAACGCTGGTTTCAGTGAGGTTCAGTGTGTAGTTTCCATAAGAAACAAGTTCATGGCAGCAGCTCTAACATAATCCCCTTTCTCTCTCTCATTTTTGGTGCTCTTCTTTAAACCACCCTATCCTTTGGTGCAAGCCCCGTTTCCTTGTGTACAAAAATGATATCACCTCTAACTTGTTGATTTTTGTCCACGTGACTTGGTGCTGGATGGCTACTGAATTTATTAATTTGGTTTTGTATGTTTTTTCTGTGATTATGTGTGCATATCAGATGACTAGACTGGCCCAGCTGTTACACTACACTAGCCTGAGTCAGGCATTGTTTTCCAAGCCACTATCCCCGATCGGGCCAACGCAGCCTTCAAGGGGGGAATGTGACCAGGAGAATAGCCCGCTGAACCTTCCAAGATGGACACCTTGTCTCTTTTTATTTACTTTTCTTTTGGTTTATTTTCTTTCATACTTTCCCATGTTGTGCACTCTCTGCTGTCTCTAGAAACTACTACAGTATTGCTATTCTCTAGCGTTGTGTTTATATTTGTTATTTTGGTTTGTTGTTTTGATTATTGTCCAACCCCCACCCCCCTCTGTTTTTCTGCTACAGCTGCAGCTTGTGTGTGATTGAGTTCTGTCCAGGTTGCTACGGCATACCGGTGGGATATGTATCACACATGGGATGCTAGAAGGATCACTAACACTTTACTCTCTTGTCTCCTACCCCGGTTGAGGTAGTGAGGGACTAGACGTTATAAAAGTGAGACTAATAATCATAAAAATAGAGTCTTTTAAGATCTATTTTTCACTTTGGATCTGGAGTGATTTAGGGGGTTTCCTAATTACTACACTACAGCTTTGATAGGGATGTTGAGTATTTAATAACAACGCAGATCCATTTAACATGGTTTTCTCTTTGTACTTCCAAATTCATGACACATGCATTATTGTTTTGCGTCGTAATGTGTTGAAATATATTTCCTAGCACTAAGAAACTTTTCATATAGGATTAAGTGGTTATTCATGCTCAGTGACTCCAGCTACAATTAACTGAATTTTGTAGCTATTTAGTCTTTTGTTAGTCTTAACCTCGCTCTCTTCTCCAGGAACAATAGCAGCAGATTTTAATCCAGAGTGGAATCCTAATCCGTTGTTATTTAATAGCTAAGTCTTGGCTAACATTTCATACACTTCTTAAAATTGTTGTTTTTTTCTGTATCTGATGTTCTGTGTGCTATTAGTGATGCAGCCATTGGGGTTGTCTTGTGTTGCACACCTTTCCAACACTGCGAAACGATCGCCCTACGGAAAAGCGCCCATGCTTGATATCGTATGGTTCATGACCAATATGTTTCCAGTACAGGTGACCCATGCATCAAAGTGTTGACTCATTCTCTGAATTGTTTTTTTTCTTCTTCTTTTTTTTTTTGAGCTATGAAAAGAGACAAAAGTTAAGATTTTGCACTTCATTGAAAATAATAATTCAGATTGACTGGGAGAAATAATTAAATAAAAGCACAATAGGGATGCTCGGTCTCCAGTATACCATGAGTAGACAGTAGAGCACCTGTAGGCTGTATGGGGAAATGTATGCTGTCTTTCTCTCTGGAATACAGTGCAGACATAGAGGAGACAGAGAGAAGAGTCCCTCTATTGCCTTCACTAATACAGACTTCTGTTTTACAGGGAAAATCCCAGAAGAAGCCAAGGCCTTGTCACTTTTGGCACCTGCCACTCCAGTGCCCAGTCTGATACCTGGCGGGGGACTGCTACCAATTCCTACTTCAGCTCCGCTTCACAATGTGAGTCGGCATCGGCATCTTGTAGTGCTCATAATGGATCGTGTGCCTGTTTGTCATGTAAGTTGATCGTAACTATGTGTTTGTGTATTTTGCAGCTGAACCTTCCCTTAGTGAATCGGGTGTCATCTGGTCTTGACGCCGCAGCATCAGTGCACTCACAGCCCCCCCTCATGGGAAATGTGGATCCATCGAAAATCAATGAAATCAGGAGGACCGTCTATGTTGGCAACCTAAACTCACAGGTAACAACGTGGGATCTGTATTTATCAGACTTCTACAAATACAATTCAGCGTACTGGGTTTAGGAATAGAAATGTTCTGCTGAGTGTGAGCAGTAAGGGCTATTTCACACACTGCACCAACTACATAAATGCACCTGTAAACGCATGGGTCACACACTGCACTGACTGGCCAGTTTAATAGTCTCCCCTGTGCATCCATCCATCCATCCATCCATTTTCCTCCGCTTTTCCGGGACCGGGTCACGGGGGCAGCAGTCTAAGCATAGACGCCCAGACTTCCCTCTCTCCAGACACTTCCTCCAGCTCCTCCGGGGGAATGGTTCCCAGGCCAGCCGAGAGACATAGTCCCTCCAGCGTGTCCTGGGTCTTCCCCTGGGCCTCCTCCCGGTGGGACATGCCCGGAACACCTCCCTAGGAAGGCGCCCAGGAGGCATCCGAAACAGATGCCCGAGCCTCCTCCCCTGTGCAGTTGTGTATAATTCAGTGCTACACCCTAACATCTGTGATATGAAGCTCAAAATGTTTGGGTTTTGGTTGAAAGTGCAGTAATTCATAGAGGTCATAGTTAAAGGTGGTGGTGTAATGGATTACGTTATATTCAGAGGTGTTCCTAATATTCTGACCCTTGTGTTTCTAGCTGGGGAGCACATCAAAGAGGAGTGCTTCATTTTGCTTTGGCTAAATCATCACTGGTAAAAGCAAAAACAGATGCTAATAATCATCATAAAGATGCTGATGACCAGAAACGGTTCTTCTTCTGTAACAAAGACATCAAATTTGAGTCACAGTAGAGGATTTGCATTAGCGCCCCTATTTAAACACACAAAATAAGACTTGCGGTTGCTTCGCGTTACTAAATTTGGGACGACACATTTTACTACACAAGTACCATCAAACCCTAATTGTGTAGCTGGAAGCGTTGGCAGCTGTGTAGCTTCCATGGTCTGAAAGAGCCCGAACACCTTTAACAAAGCTGTTTACAGTAAACTCAGCTCTCCTGTCTTAGCTGCTGTATCTCATACGTTTTTGGCTATTTCCAGTCAAACATGAGCAACACTTAAAGGATGAGGCTGGTTCTATGCTGCATTTTTGTTACTGTCAACAAATTCCATAAAAAGAACCAATAATATAAACGTTCCCTGTTGCACTCAGGCCCAGGCCCGTTTGTGCTTACTAAAGACATAAATGTATAAAAACTGGTGACAGCTGTCTAGTGTGCACATCTGCGTGCTGTACCATTTAGCTAACATTACTCAAACAGCAGTAGAATATAAATAACTTGTTTGTTAGGCCTCTAATGACTGTAACAGCAGAAATGTGTGTGTGATCAGCTCAAAAATGAGGAAGGACCCTGCTGCCAAGTGCAACAGGTACACTGACATGTTTTAATGATTCTAAAACACAGTGGAGCTCTGTGGCCCAGGGTGGTCATTGTTGGTTTTGGCTATTTGATTCGTTGACTCTGAGTATAATGAAGATACAGTGACAGTATTTGTTAAAACGATCAGTTCATTGTTGGTTTTGGCCATTTGATTCGTTGACTCTGAGTATAATGTAGAATATCACAAAATGTGTACTTTAGACAGTAACGGTCATCTTTTGTCCAATAATATAAGCTCTTTGTGGCCACTGGAGAAGTACTTGTAGCACTGCAGCAACTGTCTGAGTGAATTAACTCTCAACAAGATTCATTCAAGCTGTGGCTCATGAGGTAGGGCAGTCGTCTCCTGACCAGCAAGTTGGTGGTTCGACTCCCGGTCTCCCCAACAGTCATCTTTTGTCCAATAATATTAGCTCTTTGTGGCCACTGGAGAAGTACTTGTAGCACTGCAGCAACTGTCTGAGTGAATTAACTCTCAACAAGATTCATTCAAGCTGTGGCTCATGAGGTAGGGCAGTCGTCTCCTGACCAGCAAGTTGGTGGTTCGACTCCCGGTCTCCCCCCATGCCTAAGTGTCCCTGAGCAAGACACTGAACCCCAAATTGCTCCCGGTGGCTTGACTAGCGCCGGTGCGTGGCAGCCTGTCGTCATCGGTGTGTGAATGTTGTGTGTGAATGGGTGAATGGTGTATGATCTCCTGTAAAGCGCTTTGGCCAGTGCAACACACTGTGAGAAAGTGCTATATAAAACACAGTCTATTTACCATTTTACAGTCCAAGCGTTACATTCAGTGCCTGAAAACTTCTTGTCTCTTTCTTCCCACAGACCACCACTGCAGAGCAGCTCTTGGAGTTCTTCAAGCAGGTGGGAGACGTAAAGTTTGTGCGAATGGCCGGAGATGAGACTCAGCCAACACGTTTCGCCTTCGTAGAGTTTGTTGAGCAGGAATCCGTCGCCAGAGCCCTGACCTTCAATGGAGTCATGTTTGGGGACAGACCCCTTAAGTATGTGTTTATTGTAGATAGATCATTCTTCGGCTGCAGTAATTATACATCAAGAATTTACACAGTAAATGTGTTACCTGTCATGTTACCTGTCATTTTATGAAGCTGTGGTCCTTTAGAGGTTTGTGTCAGTTGAGTTCATTTTGTCTTTCAGGGTTAATCATTCCAATAATGCCATAGTAAAACCCCCAGAGCTGACGCCACAGGCTGCTGCTAAGGAGCTAGAAAGTGTGATGAAGAGGGTGAGGGAGGCCCAGTCTACCATTGCTGCTGCCATAGAACCAGGTGCAGCATTATGATCTGTTGCATGTATCAAACCTTCAGGGATTTAAAAAAAAAATGAAGCTGTGTTGTGTTTTGATGTTGAGCCTACTGTTCTCGCTGTAACAGAGACAAAGAGGCGTTCCTCCAGTCGGTCTAGAAGTTTGCGCTATTCTTGCTCGAGGTCGCATTCGAGAACACGCAGGAAAAGGTCCCGTTCTAAACACAGGTGCCCATCTGATTCTGGTTCTCTCAACTGATACTGAGATGATTATTGTGGCTGTTTCCAACAAGTAACAGTTTTTCCTTGTGTGGGAGCAGAACATCACAAAGGTCGTCGTGGCCTGCGGTTGACTCCCACAGTGCCCGAGGCAGCCACAGGAGGCGCTCTCACTCCAGAGACAGGAGGCGCAGTCAGAGTCGCTCAAGGTATTTTGGCCTGTGCAGCACCATCTGCTGCTGTAGCTCTGTGTAAGATACTAAAGTTGTGAAACAAGTAAGGCAATCGTGCACCACTTTACCATGAAATGTACATCTGATCCACTGTCATCAGGGGCCACAGGAGGAGGAGTAAGGATCAATCGAGGAGCCCTCGGAGGAAAGCAAGGTCACCATCTCCAAAAAGGTACATCCATCATGTCCCGTCCTCTTTACAAACTGCTTTGAGATGATCTAGATATTCTTAATTGACTGTTTACAACCATGTGTGTACACAGTGATGTGATGTCTGCAAGACTGTAACAGGTTCTTAATGTTTTTTCTTTCAGAGGTAAAAGAGACAAGAGGAAGGAGCGCAGCAGAGACAGAAAGGACCGCTCCACATCCAGGAAGAGGGGCCGCAAAGACGAGGACAGGACAAAGATCAAGGCCAAGCCAGTGAAGGTATGAAAGCTTACAGCTGTGGAAACCTCACTGTGCAGACACGTCTGCTCGAGGAGGCAAAGTTTTTAACGCTACTGACTATTTAATGGGCTCAGCTTTGTCTTTGTCACTAAAATACTAAAAAGGAAGTGTGTATCGGTGCTTAACGTACGGAGAAGAGTGGGAGGCATCATTAGTGACATTATTATCCTCCCCTAGTGAACATCAGCTTGTCTTAGTTATAAATGAAATGTTATTAAAATCATAACGGAAGTAAAACTACTGCGCGTTCGATCGATCGATCGATCGATCCTGGGAGCAAAATAAAATGGAGCCCCTGGTAGGGTCTCCCAAGGCAAGATGGTTCCAGGGGAGGTGCCAGACTAAAATCAATAAAATAAAAAAATAAAAAAAAGACCCTGATGAAAATGACAACTTTGCCTGGATTAGGGAAAGCGGGCCACCCTGCTGGAGCCAGACCTGGAAGAGGAGCTCGCCCATGAGCGTCTGGTGGCCCAGTCGGGCGCAGCCCAAAGGAGTAACATGGTGCCACCGTCCTGTGGAACCACCACCTGCAGCAAAAGGGTCGAGTGCAGTGCAAGTCGCGTGGTGGGCTAGGTCAGATACCTGGGCGTGCTGGTCCCTGGCTGTGTAGGCTAGTTCTAGGAACATGGAAGATGTATTAATGAAGAAAAACTGGTCTCCACAGTTAAATGAAATGGATGTGGTTCTGCTGGTATTTATCTATGGATAAACATTATCAGGGTTTAATTCTACAGTCGGTTCCCAGTTAAAGTTGACAGACAGGTTGTGAATAATGCAAGAGATGAATGTGAAACGATGCAGCAGTCGTAGTGTACTGTTTAAATGAAGTGTTGCTGGCTAGAAAGATCTAGACAGTTTCCACATTTCAAGGCGAGTAACTCCTTTTTTCACTGTTGTATAAAACAGCACTATCAGAGACGGTGCTTGAGAGTAGGATTAACTATTAAATACACTTTAGAAATAACTGTGTGACCTTCATTTAAATGGTTCTCCTTTAAAAAACAAGGCTGACTGAAAGGGAGAAGCGTCATCGCTGAGCTGCTGCATGTTTGCTCGTTTCTGGTTGTCCTGTGGCCCCTGACCTACTTACTCTACAGATCGCACAGATTTGATGACATTTCATCTGTTGCGCTGATAACAATCTAAACATTTTAAGTGACGCTTTAGCAGTCAGAATGTTTTCTGAGTTACACTGCAGAGTCTTGTTGCTATCTGAGGTGATACTCCATCCAAAATCATCTTTGTAAGCAAACATTCGCCCCCTGTGCTGTAGAACAGCAGCTGCAGTTGGAAATAGTTAGTTTTAAGTAATAACTTTACCCCAAATTCAGCAAATTGTTACTGTGATACTGTGTGAAATGTGTCCAGATTAGATGGTTCCTCATTTGAATGAGTGGTTCTTTCAGATGGAAAGGGCCTGTGACAGAGAAGACAAGGCGGACTACGAGAGTGACAGAGAGGACTCGGCCACGCCCAGTGAGGACATGGAGTCGTCCCCCTTCGTACAGCACAACGGCAGCTACAAGACTAACAGTGAGGAGGACACGTCTGTGGGCGCAGAGGGCACCAAGTGACTGTCACAACACTATGAAAACTGATTTTGTTCCCTAGGTGGTTTGAGCGCCCACCCTGTGTGCACACATACAGAAACAGCCATACGCTGTCATTTGTAAAAACATTCTCTTTGATAAATTACATCTTTTGCAACAATTCAGTAACCGGTTTGTCGTTCTCCCTCCTAAAGGGCAAGTGAGCACTCGGCATGGCGGAGATAGACGCCTTGAAATGCAGATTAGAAGCGTGCAGTTGCTGCTGAGACTCACCACAGTCCATCGCCACAGAACCAGTGATGCCTCTGCTCATTTGTCCGACGACTAGCAACTTGTCAGTGGATTTGTCTCTCACGTAGAAGAATTTTTAAAAAAGTCGCTTTCCATTTCTAGTGACATATGGCCTCTAAGATTCAGTATCGGTGTATACTGTAGTACGTTTGCCATGCCCTTAAGATATGTAGCAACGATCTGCATCAACGGTAAAAACAAAAGAACGTTTACATTATCCTTCATTTATTTGCAATCATGTTTATAGTGTGAGCTTTTAGCTTTGAACCCTTCCATGCACAGCATTCACCATAAAACAATATCTGGTTGTTTCTGACACTTGATGGTGACGAGGATTCAGGTTCAACACTAAGTGACTTACAAACAGCAGAATTAGATCTGAGGGATGTTCTTTATCATTTTATGAATCTAACTGAATCTTCCTACTCACAGTTGGCTGAGAGAACAGTGGTGCCTGTTAAAGCACGAGACCAGGGCTTTAAAAGATGAATAAAAATAAATCATTCAGTCTATTTTCACGTTCCGTTCTGTATTTAGACTTAGAACTCGTTTGATATAAACCAGGAAGCACCAAACAAAACATTGTTCTATAAAAAGAAGTGAGTTTCATGTCATTTATGGCGCGAAACCCCCGGAAGGTAAAAAATAAACCTGCCTGTCTGAGCTTGATTTTGCTGCTGTTGCTATGCTTGTGACAACAACTAGGTAACAAACGGTACCCGGCATATTTAACACAATCTAATACGTGTATGAACGTAGTGCGTCGTCCCATGAGCCCTCAGTGTTTATTTCTGTTGATGCTAAGATGCTCATTTGCCCTTTGTGTGGTGTTGAAGGAACTGAACTGCAAGGTCTGTGAAGTTTCCTCCATTATTCTGGGCATCTTGTTGATTTGATGACTTGGAAGTGCTGTAGTCATGAGAACTCAAAAAACTGCTTCTGTGAACCAGTTAAAATATTGACACACAGATGAATTTCTCATTTGAAGATGTTGCTTTATTTCCTGTTGTTGTTTTCTGAATGTACATGCTTGTTTTCTACTCCTGATTACTAGTTGTCACGCTGAGATCACGTTCCTTTTCCTGATGAAATGCTGTGAGAGAAAAACTATTTATGACTATGGATACAATACAGGCCTGAACTGGAACATGATCTTGGTCTGCAGAACGTGTCGGCTCATACTCCTGGACAAAGTGAGATGCTCAATCACAGCGTAGACGAGGCTGAACGCCGTATGTCATGGGTCAACAAACGACTTGGAAGCAGAGGACGGTCAAGAAGTGCCTGGATTTAGATTGTATGGAATGTTTTAATGCAATACGGAGACTTGTCGATAGATGTGACCTGAAACTGGGATGAAATGTTAAGTTTGTTGTCGGCCGTCTTTAGTAATTAATAGAATAGAACTTGTGTGGATTTACTCTTAACCTTGGTTTCTTTCATTTGTGGTGTTGAAGCCAGTGTTCTGTTACAGATGTATTAGCAAACTGGCTCCAGATCGAGATCAGTGTTTTCTTTTTCTCTATCAACTCTTGGTATACTGTAAAAGCTTTACTCTTTAAAGGACACTTCACAACTTTATGGCTTTCTTCAACAAATTCCACTTCCTGATTTTTGTTTCTATGTGCACAAGGCTACGGTCTGAAGCGGTGCACTCCTGATAATGTCTAGTAAAAAGCATTTCCAACAAAATTGGCTGAAGATGAACTTTAGTTTTTCTATTTGTGTATCCAATGTATATATGTTATATGCTGTAGACACGGTTCATGGTTTGCTCTTCGGGGATGTAAAGGTCTGGTAACACTGGTTTAAGACTTTGGATGTATGTGATCTTCCTTCATTTGATTTTGACAGCACATCTGAACCGTTTCCAAAAACACAATAAAGACATTTTTCTTTACTTTGCTTTAGCGCCGTTGTTGTGTAGAAGTGCTGATGAATCTCATTCAGCATTTGCAGCCACTTGACTGTCTGCACCTACATGACTGCCTCTGAACATCCATGCATCTTAGTTTTAGCCGTGGTAGCGCTGTGGCTCCCGGAGGGCGGGGCTGGCCTGTCGGTGTGTCCGTCCACCACTTTGGCCCTGAATAGCTATAAAATGTTATCGACATTCATGGTCCCCAGAGGAAGGACACTAATGACTTGAGTGATCTCGACCTTTCTTGTAGCGCCGCCATGAGTTTGACATTTTACTGAAATTCCTTGGCTGTTAGATGAATTTGCCTTTTTGTCTGAAGACATTTTCACATGTACCTGCAATAAAAGCACAGGTGTAAATAATAAAATATGGTTGAAATTCCATGTAGCTGCTTCAGCTGTGCACACTGGCCCACCGTCGGTATGAATTTCTGGTTGTATACAGGCTAAACATCCTTTTCATTGGCAGCATGTAGGTGTCAGCTTTGTGAAAGTACGGTTGTGCCTGAGTAAAGTGAGCAACTGCTGTAACTAGAGGAAAGTGTGGGCAGTGAAAAAAGGAAGTACAGATCTGAGTGAGTGTGACAGCATCATTACCGTGATTAACCGGATGCATTCACGTTTATTAGGCCATTCACTAACTAGTCTGGCCTGTAAAGAAGAGCCTTGTTCAGATTTACAGATGGAAATGTACACATATACAGAAATGAGCACAGATTATGTGCATGCATGGAAGAGGTTGTTCACGTGATGCAGATGTACAGGTTACAATTTGTCTTGTCTTTAGAAATCTACTAAGTTTTACCCTCATTTTGACATCAACACAGAGTTATAGTTATTATTTATGAATAAATAAAACCACATTGTTGACCTGCAGCCAACAGTGTGGCAGCTCCTCATAGTCCACCTCATCTGATTCAGTCGCTCCTCCTCTGGTTACGACCCAGTCCGTCATGTACTGACCCTGTTTCAGTGTTTTGTCTTTCTTTATTTATACATCGTGGGCATCTCCTGGCAGACCAAGGTCGGACTGAATTGCTCTATATAGTCCAGTCTTGACTTCACCGCAGCCGACTCTATGTTCTCTGGTTCATTTTCCACGACCTGACTAACAACGGTATTTGCTGGGACAGGCTGTGGCATCGCCTGGTGAAACATCTCCATTGTTGTATATTCACTCGAAAAAGCAAAAGGCAAAGTCTGGATGTTTGTATGTGGTATGTTTGAGAGCGTCTCCGTAGTATCATCAGGTAGGACATCTGCAGGTGGCCCCTCTGCGTCTCTCTGGCTCCGGTTACAAGTCATTTCTGGGGAGTCTCCTTCATCCTCCAAGGCACAGAGAAATGGTGATGTACTGGCAGAGACCACAGTTTCTTTTTCAACTAGATGAAAACTATGTGTATCCCATTCTTCCACCTTTAGAGTGTTGATGGACTCCAGGAGTTCCTGAGTGATATGAAAACAGTCTTCAACATAGGCCCAATAACCAGCTTCACACACTTAACATCACAAAACAACAGGTAGTCAAACTCTCGTGCTTTAACTGCAGCAGCAGGAGGTGGCAGTACATTTAGATGTATTTTGTCAGTCTGACTTTTTTTTGTAGTAGTAGTTCTGCTGATGGTAAACGGTCTGGAAGCACAGACACTTACCAGCTCAGGTCTTTCCATTTTCTGCATTGCCTTGCTGCTTCCTGGGTCGGGTAAACTTGGCCACACAATTAGTTTAGCTCTAGAGTGAATAATGTTGAGAAGAGCTGGTAAAACGTACACAGATCTTTACCCACTTTAAGAAGTTGGTTCAACATACTGTTCCATTCATGTGAGATAGTGACTGACGTACTGTACCTTTTTATTATTGACGGTCCAAATATCAGCAGTATGCTAATAACAGCAAGGACGGCGATAGGAACGCTTATATTTACACTAAAATAACCTACGGAAAGAAAAATGACAGCATATTCCACAGTTCAGTAAAGATTGCTTTTTTGTATTTGATGCAGGTAAAAACAAATAACTTTGTGGTTAATAAACTGCTGATTGATTAAACCTTGATTTGTTTTAAAAAGTCTTGGTGTGCTTCGTACTCCTGCTCCGGCCTGAGTGAAGCCTGATATCTGGACCTGGTATACTGTGCCGCTTTTCAGATCCCCCAGTTCACGGCTGTTTGACATAGGATCCACTGTGACATCTGCAACCACAGAGTGACACATCTGCTTTAAAGTTGAAATACATTTCCAAATCCTGCTGTGAATCATTATTTGCTCATGTGGAATACTTGTCAGATTTGACACTGAGTAAAGCGGGCACTCCGGTGGGTGTGTCGCTGTGGCTGGAGGAAAGTGACCTTAGAATACATCAGGGAAAGAAAAGGTCCTTGGAGGCAGGGGACGAGCTCAGTGGTCAGGGACCTGTCATTGAACAGGACCAGCGACAAGGTGAGTAACCGAAGTGTGCAGGATATCAGCATCAATACCAGTGAGGAGGAAGGGGAAGGGCAAGGTGGCGCCGTACAGCAGAGTCAGGAGAGTGGTGAGAAAGAGAAGGTTATGGTTGGAGAGTAGTGTAGGAAGTCATTATATGTCCACTTTAGGTTAAAAGTGGTGGAGCCCTGAAGATTTGAATAGTGAGTGTCTGTGGGAATGCTCATCCAGTCTTTGACACATTTAATTGGGAATTATCAACTGGCTGTGCAACAGTGTGTTTGTTGGTTAGTTGGATGGTTCACAGCTGAGCAGGGTTAAAATGCCACATCTATCAACACTATATTTGATTGAAATGTCTCTTCTGATGTTAGTATTCAGGCCGGCTGTGGCTCAGGAGGTACAGCGGTCATCCCCCAACCAGCTTGAATCCCGTTCCCCCCAGTCCACATGTTGAAGTGTCCTTGGGCAAGACGCTGAACCCCAAGTTGACCCTGGTGGCCAGACAGCGACTGACAGTGCCGCCATCGGTGTGTGTGTGTGTGTGTGTGTGTGTGTGTTATCGCCACAGACGGCTGCCTCGGTTCTGTACCGGAGACAGATTCCTTGAGTGTGTAACACACCCGGCTCTGCCTGAACGCAGCCTCACAGAGCTGTGAGCAGCGATTTCCAAATCAGCTGGCGGACAGGAGAGTGATGTATTTAGTGGCTGTGTGTAGCTATTTGTGCACTTTTGTCTTAAATTTACAGTTGAAACTAAGTAGTATTTCCAGTTTACTAAAAAACAAAGCAAATTAGCGCAGGAAGTTAGTGAAAGGTTGAAGATGCTTACTTGTCTCCGTCCCCCTGTTGTGGTACTCGGTGTAGTGGATTGTGTAACCCAGTAGGAAGCCTCTGACGTCTTCCTCCGGCATGGGCGACCACTCCAGCACCAGTGAATTCTGTGTCACATTGTAGCTGCTGATGTTGACAGGAGCACTGACGGGCGCTTTGGGAGCACCATATCAAGAAGTCAGACTGGTTGTTAAAGGCAAGATAAGAAGACACTAGCAACGATATCCTTGTTGTTGACTTACATCCTTCAGTGAAATAGAACTGGGTGCTCCCATAGGTGCTCTCACTGTTGTTGATATGCTTCAGTTTGCAGGTTTGCTTGTTTGGCCGCGTGTGCAGACTGATGCTGTATCTCTTGTAAGGCTCCAGAGGCTCTGCTCATTGAAAACAAGCTGCTGGATTATCTCAGAGGCATCTCCTCTCGTCACAAAATCAACCCCATCTTTTAGAAGTGACGTTTACATCCACCAGTTTGCAACAGAAAACATGTTTTGCAAGAGATGTGGTGTAACCTGAATGACTGGTCACATTTAGGCTCTCACGGCTCAGCAGTGGCTTGAAGCAGGAGATGGGACTTGTTTACTTAGTCGTAATGAACTGGAACCACAGTCTCTGACTCATCATAACTCAAGGGTTTCTGTTACCTAAACCTAACCACAGGTGATACTATGCGCTGTCTGTGCTCGAGAAATAATGTTGCCACATAATATAATCGTATTTCCTCAGTAATACCAATGAGTTGCATGTAAACTGATTTTCCTGGAGGGTTGAGGAGAAGGTGTGAATATCTACAAACCTGCTAAACGAGGTAACTTCATGTAGTTGTTTCTGTCCTGATAAAAGGACTTGTACGCTGCTTTTTGCCCCTTTTGCCACCACTCCACACAATAGCAGACATAGGTTCTGATGAGATTATCTTTCCAGTAGATTGTAAAGGATGTATTGCTGTGAACCGTCACGTTCAGCCTCCCTTCTCCATCACCTGTCGATACAAATGTATGATCAGTTTTCATCTATTCTCATGAATCTGTGGGTTATTCTGTCAGTACTGACAAGTGAAAGCCATGTTTCTCTGCAGCTGTCAGATCTTTAAGAAATCAAATGCAACCCTGCTTTAAGTTTGAAAACGAAATATTTGTTCACATTTTTAAAAACCATCACTAAACTGTGCCTCCGTGCAGATGGAGCTCACCGGGCACGTCTTCCCTCTGTGGTATTGTCTTGCTTGTGGCCGGGGAGATGCTGACATTGTTGACAGCACTAACGCTGAGATGATAAGCTGAGTAGGAGAGATTCAGCCTGATCTCAGGTCGGGTTGTGTTCACCTCCAAAGGCGGGTCCTCTCCTGACGCTTTCTTAACGGTCACATAGTAGCCGTCATAGGGCTCTTTGGTAGGAAACTAACAGACAAGATTATGTCATTATCAAAATAACATCCCAGAAGATAAACACTACAACCCCATTATACTTCTGGTTGAAGGAAAATGTGAAGCGGTGTGTTTTTAAAGGTACCGTCCAGGTCAAGGTGAGCAGCCGGAGGCCTTTTTCCCCTGCAATGTCACAATGTTTGTACTTGTCAATGACGGGTCGTGTTGTCAGTTCTGAAAGAGGTGTTATAAGTTTATTTATTCTGATTTAGGAAAGAACTTTTCAGCTTCAAATTCTTTTTGCTCTTCTTGTAATCATGCAGCATGAAAACACATTTTTTAACTGACTTTTTATTTGACTTCTCTGTAGTGGTTAAAAACAAACAGAATATAGTAACAGATCATGTATAATATGTAATGTGAAGTAAAACCCATTAGAATGGGACAGTGTGAGTTAAAGAGAGGCATTAAAAGGAGCATTGAGACGTGCTGCTGCTCTCTGAGAGGCACCAGGCGTCTCTGTTGTTCAAAACATCTAGCAGAGTGTGTTCCCTAAAAAAGGAGAAGCTAGCAGGGTGTTTCCTAAGGAAAGGCAAGTCGGGTAGGAAGCGAGAGCTGTGAATATAAAGAGGTAGGCTGAAGGATAGGAAAGGAGAAGAAGTGTGTGCACGTTTGATCCCAGGCCTGGGTAGGGGGACCAGACTCTGGACTCTGACCGACTGACTGACTGACTGGGACAGTCTTCCATTTTAATACCATATTCATTCCTTTGCAGAGGTGGTGATTCGATTCCCTATCTGTCAAACTATTGACCTGCCTTGAATTATTATAATATTAAATTATCACTGCAAATGAATTTAGTTTAGATCAGGCTCGAACAGCGACATCTCTCATCACAGTTACGTGAATAGATTGGAAATGCTTCTTTTTAATGGTGGATTTAGTCTAAAACAAGGAGGCAGAAAGTAAACTAACCTGATGGGATAGTGTAGGGTTCACTCCATGGGCACTGGGAGCATTTGTCATTAATGACACACTGTATCTGTACAACGTAGACCAGCGAGGAGTTGACATTGTCCACACCACACCTCTCTCTATTCTGGGACAGCACCAGGGACTGTGAACAACATAGAAACCAATGAATGACAGGAAGAATTATAAAAGTCATAAAATCACTTTTGGGGGGTCCAGTGTCTTGCTCCAGGACACTTCAATATGTGGACCGTGGTGAACGGGGATCGAGCCGCCGACCTTCTGGTTGGGGAGGCGGCCAAGTTTCTGTTGCTGCCTTTCCATGGGTTGTTATTTCATTTACTTTCTGATGCTCATATTTGACTTGTTTTGCCTTTTCTTGATTATTTGAAATGGCTGTTGTTGTGTAGTCCCCAGGAAGTCAGTGGAGTGAAAAGGTTCTGTGTGACCATTTAATAATGACCTTGTTCAGTGACAGGCTGCTTCGTGCTGTGTATCTCACAGAGTAAGACGCGATGTGCTTTTTTTCATACTCCCGCCAGCTCACATTCACATCTAGTTTTCCAGAGTGGCGTCTGAAGGCCACGTTAGATGGAGGACCACATCGCCCTGAAATATTCACAGAGTGAGATTCACCATCCAAACCAGAGAAGCATGAAAACAAGACGTGCTCATAGAAATGATTCCTTGTGGACTTACGCAGGTTGTTTGATGAAGCTCTGAAAACGGCTTTTGTGCAGTTTTCTGACTCGCTGTTTTCATAAACCTCAACGCTCATGTGTGTTTGAAAGAACTCGACTGTTGTACAGGGTTCAGTCATATTGTTGTACACCCTGCAGTAGTTCCTTCTTCTAGATATGTTTTGAACAATTAGATGATTATCATAAGTCATTACAAGCCTGTTTTTTAATACACATATGTAATTTCATGTGTTTATAAGATAAAAAGTTTTCAACTCTGAAGCAGAAACGTGGCACTACTCACTCTTGTTGTATGATCAGTGTGTATGTCTTTTTTCTTGTGTGATTTCCAGGTGTCCAAACACATTTTCCTGCCCCATAATTATGTCTAATATATATCATAAAACAGTCTAAATCCTGGACTCCACCTGAAAGAAAGGCAGGATATTTTAAAAAATTAAAAAAAAACTATTTCCAGTGTCTTCAACTTGATTCAACTTGGGTTGAGTCAGAAGTGCCTTCCTCACCTGGGCGAACCTCACAGTGCAGATACTTGGAAGAAATGTTACTTGAACTGCAATAATCTGGAACATAATATGAATCAGATGTTGTTTTCTCTGCTTTATCTCACAGCAGAAAAACACAACTGCCACTTTGTGATTCATTCGAGCTAATATTAAGAAGCCACTCATGTTTGGGTAGCGGTGCAGTTACTGGTGAAATGTTGTGACCAAACATCAGCCTACCTGTGCCTTCTTCAACATGACAGGAGAGAGTAGTGTAGTGAGCAAGAACCAGACCTGGGGTTTGAACAACAGAAGGTTGTTTTAGCCACAATCTGACTTGAATCCTGGAGACAACTGACTGAATTTAATATTAATGCAAAGAAAGAAAGATGCTAATATCTAGAAAAGCCGTCACTCGGCTTTGGCCCCATAGTGAATCACATTAAATTTGTATCATATAGTAGAAAAGTGCGCTAACATGTGCAAAAGCAAAATTTATCAACCACTTACCAAGGATGAAAAATGTTGGTTTGCACAGGGATACCAACAATTCAAAGTGAAATCCACAACCAACCATGTCTCCTGGGACTGACTGCAAGGCTGAAACCATGAAAGCGGGTCAGAGGCGGTGCTGCTCCCACAGCCTGCTGCCATTCACAGACCTGATGCTCACAGAGGCTGCTCGTGAGAGAGAGAGAGAGAGAGTGAGTGTCGAGGAAAACCTCTGCAGAGTTGAACAGTGCACTTGGCGTAAAGAGGCGGGGACAAAGACCTGATGGTTGGCCCCATGCTGTACTTCTTCTTTCCACAAATAGAGCCGTGCAGCACACGAGGCTGTGACATTTCAAACTGCAAACTCAGGCTGATAATGCAGGATGTGTGAGACTTAACTGAGCTCTAAAGTGACAGTGCACGAGAATTTCGCTTTTCTTTGTGAGAAGGTACAAACAAAGAGTCCTCTCTGATTCCACAATGACTCAGAGCGTTAAATTTACCTCTTGTCCCCTGAATTTAAGAATTCATCATGGTTAATTAGGTTTCGAAGAACTGAACGTGTCGGTTTGAAAATCACAGATTGTTCCACATCAACAGACAGATATGATTGCTTTGTTTCGATTTGCTTTTCATTTTGAATCATTTGTTTCAGAGAACTTGCTTCTGTTGTTCTGTAGAAGTGAATGAACTGTAGTAGAATGGAAATATAGTGTAGTGAGACGCTGTTCGGCTTTCCTGTACGATGACAACGGTGACATTTATTTGAAATGTAAATGAAAACCAGAATCACCTGGACAAACAGCATTATAAAAACCCACATGTTTAATGAAAATGAATGTGGTGCATACGCTAACACATCTGGAATATAGAAGAGATGCTAATATATAAATGATTGAACTATTTTTGAAAATAGTAAGTGAAATTCTAATGCACTGAAGTTAAAGGTTCCTTCCAGACATGGTTTAAGAAATTAAAATACAAAAAAACTTAAACTGTTACTTAAATTTAAAAATGTTTTATTTCCCTCACTGAAAAGTAAAAGGTTCTACGAATATACCAAGATTGTAGATTTCAGAAGTTCAACTGTGTTGTTCTGCTCTGTGACAGTGAAGTAACGATAAGCAAACTGCTCTAGTGACCTGAGGGGGGATGTCCAGGTGACGTGCTGTGGCTTTAATCATCCCACACAGGGTTCAGGGTGACTCAAAGAGCACACTGTCTTTTCCAGTATTGTGAAACAGAATTCAGGAGAAACCACTGATCCCTCTTCCCTGTCCCAGCTGCTGCAGACCATCAGTGGGTATTTGAAGCACATGCTGTTTCATTTGAATTCTCGTTTGAAGCCCTGATCCTCTCACAAATAGGTTTTGGTTATTGTTACATCAACTGGCTGTTTGACGTCCGATGCTTCACTTCATCTGCTGAAGAGGGAACGTTTCTCTGCGCTCGTGTCCAAACCGAGTTCAGGGCGTGCACATACAAGCATGATTTGCAAAGCCACAACTAGTCTGAAAGTTAATTTGATTGCAGTATGAAGTGAAATATATTTGTATTTTCTTAGATTCTAGATTTTTCAGTGGCAGAGAATTTTAGTTTTGCATGTTTCACAAAATATGGTTCAAAATAATAATTTAGGCCTTAAAATAAAATGTCAGCGTGGAACTTTTAACTGAATTATAAAAAAAACAAGATTCTGTTTAACTGTCCAAAATAAAAAGGGGCTTTTTTGGATTACAGAGTAAGTTACAGAGCAGCTATCAGACCAATCTTGTGGTGACGTTGTTTTCATAACTGCTGTTTCTAAGATCAGAACTGAGCTTTGAGATCTCTGCTATTAATAACTTAGTGTAGTGGCTGTTTAGTTAGTTCCTGTAAAAAGCCCTCGAAGCCCCATCAACGAGCTTCACATAATGATCTTCAGATGCATTTGCTCATAGTTTAGAAGGCGCCTGTGGCCTACAGTCGTGTCTGGTCATTTTATATTTGCCATGTAAGGCCATACGACGCCATCCCTCCTGTAACTGGACATGTTGGTGGCACCTGTGCTTGGTCGAGGAGGGCTTAGGAAGGTGACACCAAGCAATGAAAACAGCACAGTGCATGTATGTTCTGTGGCGTATATTTAAAAAAAGACTTTTTGCTGCATGTTCCCCCTTCAGTGCTGAGCTGTAAACGCACAGGAAGTGCAGTTCACACCTCACTAGCTTCAGTTAGGAGGGTTCACGTTATTTATGCTGTTTATCACCAACATGATCTTTACATTGTACTTGAACTTCGTCTTAAGCCTGACACCCTTGTTTAGATTTGGTGGCCATTCCTCAAAACTATGACCAGTTTTGGACTTCTGTAATATGGTGGTTTTTGTTCTGCCCATGTTTTTGGCTCGCTGGGTAACAAAGCTCAATAAGTCATCTGAAGATGTGAAGCAGAAAAAGACGAAGTCAACGTCAGAAACGTTTTACTGGAGGAATTCAGTGGATTCAAAATAGGGGAACTGAGAGAGGATCAAATGATTTCAATAAAAAATGACTCAAATTAAATAACTTTAAAGATCCTTATCACAGGAAATTGGATTCCGCTAAATGAGTAAATGCCCACCCACTCTTATTTTGCATGTAGGTAAATTTCCCCACCTTAACTTTATCATTCCTTAGATCGGGTTTGTGTCGTCACTCAGTCGTGGGCCACAGCAGTTCAAAGAGTCTGTGGGTTCATCTCGTGCTTTCTTGATCTGATCAGACTCCTGTATTGTTTTCTTAGTTTTGCACCAAATGTCTCCCCAGTGAGCTCATGCACGGTTTAGTCGTTACTGATCGTTTCTTTTCTGCGTATTGTAAATGCATCATATGTTATGAAAGGGATTTGATGAAAACCATTAAACGTCACGTTTTCAATGCCACATAAACAATAATGTTCAAATGACAATAAACACCAAAGGTTTTGATAAATACTTTATTCTTGGTAGGATGAAATCAAACATTTAAAAAGCACAACTGATTATGACTTGAATCATTTTGCATTTCACTAACCAGTGGTGTTCCCAAGTGAAAATCTGATCTCATATAACTTCCTGATGTTTACACAGCATAAAAATGACACCAGAGTTTGTAGTGATTTCTCTAGTGGAGGAGTAAAACCAGTAGCAGTACCACAGTGGAAAAATACTGCAGTCAAAAGTAATTAAAAGAAGACACCAAATGACAAAGGAGACTGTCAGTAGTTCTGTATATTCTGTAAACGTCAGGGGAACCGCTACTACATGTTCATTGGTGCATCTTTTCCCTCAGTATCCTCCTTTTCCCTTTTAACTGCCACTTACACTGTGAATAAAACATGTCTGGGTTTGATATTTGCAAAGGGAACTTTTTCTACCCAAGAGAAAAAAGCCAGGGGCTAAAAGGAGATGGAAGCCTTGGACTCTGAGACTGGCTTATTGATGGTTTCAGCAGTGTTTCCATGAAATGATCGCAGTCTGGAAAACATCCAGTAAGAATGGAGCGACTCGTGCACGGACTGTTCAGTGGACGGTGGATTAAAACATATTAAGGTGTGATTGACCTGGATGGCTGGAGCTCAGTGAGTTTCATGTCACCAGGTGCAGCAGGGTGTTGTTTCAGTGACTGGAAGTCTGCTCGTCAGTCATTCATTTGATCCAGTCGCCTGCAAAGTGATTAGTCCACTGACAATACCTCTAACAAATGCCCTCTGGGCCTGGTGGGGCCTGGCTCCTCAGTGTTGGATCTGTTTCTCACCCGAATAAAGACAAATACATGAGCTCGGTAAATACAAAAGGATGTAAAGTTGAATCGTTTGTGCTTCCATCTCCATGTCATGTGTTTTGAACTGGGACAATACAAACCCTGTGGAACAGGAACAGTGATCACATATTTACACCGGCTCAGTCTGAACATCAACACTTTCTCTGACACGTCAGATTATCAACAGCTCATGGAGAACTGCAGGGTGTAAAGGCTCAACAGTCAGCAGTCTGTTTACTATGTGGAGGCCAGTGCACCGTGAAACATAGTGACTGTGAAAAGAGGAAGCTGTTCCAAGTCGCTGCAGTGAACCTCGGGCTGAACAGTGAGGCCCGGGCTGTTTGTGCTGTTGACTGGAAATAAGGGCCGGAGTCTGTTAGGTGTATGTGTACGGCAGGGTTGATGGGATCTATGTTAGATCTATGTTAGATCTACGTTAGATCTATGTTAGATCTATGCTAGATCTATGTTAGATCTATGTTAGATCTATGTTAGATCTATGTTAGATCTACGTTAGAT